ATTTCTAAATTTGACAAAACACTGAAAAGATGTCCGATTGATGAACTTTGATTTAATTAGTCTTCAATAGCTAAAGTCCTACATGTTTTTCATAGAATCAGTGTACAATTAGTAGTTATTGATAAGTTGTAAGTTACGATGGTAAGTATCGATTGTTTGTTACCTATGCTTTGTCATTGAGGAGAAAATCACTGTAATGTATAAGTCAAACTTGAATTCAATGATAAGTCATTGCATGACATTAACCAGAAGACTAAAGACTTTCTGTTCTCAAGTACTCATAAGCACATTTTATCATACAACTATAATGCTATATTTTTATTCATATTATATATTTAAATATAATATAAAAAGAAAAAAAAAATCATGGATATAAATATTGATAAAATAAATAAAAATGTTATGTTATACACAATTTTATATGAAAATTATTTTAGGTCACAATATTATTATTCACTATAGTCATCATCTAAAAATACTCGTGGTTTCCTGATAGTCATTTATTTATAGAAATGGTTAAAAAATCATTGTCTTTGGTTTGATTTGACAAATCACATTTATTTCCTGATATCCAACTGTGCCATGAGGTTATCACATCTTGTTTTAAATTGACGTTGTTCCATACGTATACGTTCCATATAGCTCGGATCCAAAAACATTTTATTTGAATTTCTGATTTTCTGAAAAACAATACATTTTTATTTATTTATTTTAAGATGATTTGCCTCTATATATGTGTGGAGTATCTTTTTAGCATTGTAAAAATGTCCTTTTTACTACGGAAGATTGAGCTTCCAAAATTTGACGGTAGCCTTATCAATTGGTGCGCGTTTCGCGATATGTTTACGTCACTAGTGCATGAAAATCGGTCAATAACGGATATAGAGCGCTTTCATTATTTGGTGTCTTGCTTATCAGGTTTGGCCCTAAACATTGTAAAATCAGTTCCGCTAACTTCGGATAATTATGCAATCGCCTGGTGTGCGCTTCGGGATCGTTATGACAACAAGCGACTTCTCGCTACAGCACATTGTGATAAACTATTTTCGTTTGAACGTTTACAGCGGGAATCGGTATCCTCGTTATTATCATTTGTTAATACTTTTCGCGAGAATGTTTCCGCGTTAAAGGCACTTGGTGTTGTTGATTTGTCTGGATTCTTGCTATTCTACATCGGTGCCCGTGTCATTGACCCCGATACTCGTCGATTATTTGAAGCAAGTATACCTCAAGAAAGCTTACCAAAGCTGGATGAACTATTGGATTTCGCCGCGAATCGGTGTAAGATATTGGAAAATGTCGGCGTTAACGCGGATACGCTGTCAGTGGGCAACAGTAGTTCTAGAAAGGGCAAGGGCAGCCAGACGTCCGTGAAGACTTCATTATCGACTACTGCTACTGCCAAGAACAGTTGTGCGTTCTGCGATCGTGATCACCCGTTATTTCGATGTTTAGTGTTCAAGAGAAAATCTGTCACCGAACGGCGGGAGTTTGTTCTTAAGAAGAAGCTATGTTTTGTTTGTCTACGTCCGGATCATGAAGCAAACTCGTGTAAGTCGGCGTACGTATGCAAAACTTGTGAAGGACGACACAGCGTACTGCTCCACTTAGATTCAAAAAATAAGGGTATAGGAAAGTCGTCAACACTAAACGCAGCGACAATTCAAAAACCGATTGAAAGCCCCGTGGATCAGAACTTTACATCTACTAACTTCTCAGGTGCTGTGAAATCGGATGTGAGTGTTGTACTGGCTACGGCGATAGTGAGGATTCGAGACCACTCTGGTGCGTTGGTGCCAGTTCGAGCTTTATTAGATACTGGATCACAAATTTCGGCCATTACCAATCAATGTGCTATCCAACTTGGTTTGCCACGTCACAAGGGACGAATAGAGGTTAGTGGTCTGGCACAGCTGTCTGTACGAACTGTAAAGGGTTCAACCAATTGTAGTTTTGTTCCATTGCTGTATGATGCTCCGCAAATATCGGCCACCAATATCGTAATATTACCAAAAATCACCGCGTTTATACCGAATCAAAAATTACCCGTTTCAATTCGTGAGCGATACGGGCATCTCCCACTTGCTGACCCTAATTTTGATGTGCCAGGTTCAGTGGATATGTTGATTGGAGGGGATTTGTATCCATTCATCTTACAATCACGATCGGACATTGTCCATAGTCCCCGGTCTGCCTTCAGCCTTGAACACGCAGTTTGGATGGGTAATAGTCGGAGCCATAGAAGGGTCAAGGGAATACTCTACTGCTTCATCGTTGGCAGTTCATGCGGCATCAGATAGCCAAGATATAGGGGAGCTCTTACAGCGATTTTGGGTAGTTGAAGACTTTGATATAAGCCATGGACCAAGCATGGAAGATGAAGCATGTGAAAAATATTTCCAAGAAACAGTATCGCGGGACTGCAATGGAAGATTTCATGTTGCATTGCCTTTCAAATCCATAATTCTGGGTTCAATGGGTACGGAAATCACAAAGCGCGATGATCATTCATTAGGTTTAGGATCGTCCCGCTCACTAGCTTTGAATCGCTTGTATAATCTCGAACGTCGCTTAAGCAAAGACGAAGAGCTATATAATGCCTATCGTGACTTTATGGATGAATATATTGCACTAGGCCATATGCAGTTGGCCGAACTCGCTGGAAAATATTTCATACCACATCATGCGGTTGTAAAACGGAAGGAGAATGACATAAAAATTCGAGTTGTCTTCGATGCCTCCGCTCCCTCTTCGTCGGGACGTTCTTTGAACGATTGCTTAACAACTGGTTCTAAATTGCAAACTGATATCGGGGACATCTTATTGCGTTGTCGATTTTATAAGTATATGTTCATAGCAGACATAGTTAAGATGTATCGACAAATATTCGTTCTAGAAGAAGATCGTTTTTACCAACACATTCTGTGGAGGCGTTCACCACATGAGGAAGTAAAAGAATATGAGTTATGTACTGTTACATATGTTATTAATTCAGCACCGTTCTTTGCCATTCGTTGTCTTCTTCAATTGGAACAAGATAATGGTCCAGAATTTCCATTGGCAAGACAATTTCTGCGGTCATACACCTATGTGGACGACATTATTGCAGGTTCCAATACAAGGGAAGAAATAGTGAATGTGCAATGTCAAATCGTTGGGTTGTTACAGAAAGGCTGTTTTGAGCTAAGTAAATGGGCTAGTACTTGCCCCGCAGTTTTGGAAGGCGTTGCAAAAGAGCACTGTGCCAGTAACCCATACTATGAACCTCATTCTGGACAGGCTGTCAAAATATTGGGTCTTTATTGGGACCCGTTTGGAGATACATTCGGATACAGGTCAAATATTACTGGGATGCAACCCACAAAACGATCGGTACTATCAGTCCTCGCTCGATTATATGATCCCATTGGGACATTAGGTCCAATGGTTTTCTGGGCTAAGTGCCTAATGCAAGAGTTATGGTGCCAAGGACTGAACTGGGACACTCCAATTTCCAAAGAGATCTCCTCCAAGTGGAATGTATTCATAGAAGAACTTACATCGTTGGAGCATTTGAAGTTGTTTCGTCATATTAGCATCGTAAACTGCATAAAGGTGCAGTTAATAGGGTTTGCAGATGCGTCACAAAGGGGTTATGCTGCGACGGTCTTTCTACAAGTAATGGACAATCAAAGTTTCATCAACGTGCATTTCATTGCCTGCAAGTCAAGGGTTGCTCCGCTAAAGACGTCCAAGATCGATAAATCCTTGACCATACTCCGTTTAGAACTTTGTGCAGCACTTCTGTTAGCACGTCTCATGTCACACAAGATGTCACTGTTGAAGGAGTTGGTTTATGTACAAGGCATCAAAGCATTCACCGATTCGACCGTTATCTTGGCATGGTTAAAGGCCAAGCCAAATGATTTTAAAATATTTGTTACAAATAGTGTCAACAAAATAAAGGAACTTCTGCCACAATGAGAGTGGAATCACGTAAAAACCACGGAAAATTCAGCAGACCCGGCATCAAGAGGTTTACTTCCATACCAGTTAGTTGCTTCGCAGTTGCATTTAAACGGTCCGTAATTCTTACGTCAGCCTGAGGAACAATGGCCTAGTCAAATTTTAACGAGACTTCCTTCCGAGCAACTTCCGGAGTATAATCAACCAGTCAATTGTGTGTTACATACCCTTAAATGTAATGAATCAGAAGAGATCTTCCGTCGTTTCTTGTCACTAACAAGAATGCAGCGAACATTCGCTTATGTATGGCGCTTTATTGACCGTTGCAGACAAATACCTGTAAGCAGGGGTCTACTTACTCGAATTGAACTCAATCGATCGCTTCTTATCGTCATTAAGCTTACGCAAGATTTTTATTGGAAAGGCTTACGAAAGCGGTTGGAAAATACCTCGGCATCGATAACCCCCAATTCACTTGCTCAGTTGTCACCATATTTAGACAATGAAGGATTAATTCGTGTCGACGGTCGACTTCGTTTCTCGCTTCTGACCGAAGAAGCCAAGCATCCAGTGCTGCTCCCTAAGGCTGCTTATGTCACGCAGTTAATTATCAGCCATTATCACTTGAGCCTTCTACATGCTGGTCCAAAATTAGTTATGGCCATGATTCAACGAAAATATTGGATTGTATCAGGGCGTGCAGCCATTCGGAAAATTATACACACATGTGTTAGATGTGTGCGCCATAGAGCTGCGTGCCCACAACCAGACATGGCAGACTTGCCACCAGTACGAGTACAGCCTCATCGACCATTCGCATTCGTTGGCATGGATTATGGTGGACCGTTTAATGTGAAAGAAAGCCGTCGACGAGGTGCCAAGACTAATAAGGCTTATCTTGCTCTATTTTTGTGTTTATCAGTGAAGTCAGTCCATCTGGAAGTGGTGAGCGACTTATCCACGGAAGCGTTTCTTGCTGCTTTCGATCGCTTCACTGCTCGTTGGGGGATTCCAGTTGAAATACGTTCTGACTGTGGAACAAATTATGTAGGTGCTGCTCGGCAATTGAAATCTTTGTTCAACGAAGCAAAAACCCGAGACACTCTAATGAGTAGGATCCCATGTCAGTGGTATTTTAATCCACCTGCGGCCCCTCATTTTGGAGGTATCTGGGAGGCCGCAATTAAAAGTGTCAAGACTCATTTGAGAAAAGTCATCGGTGATCAAATAATGACCATGGAAGAATTTACCACACTAATAATTCGCATCGAAGGAATCTTAAATTCGCGTCCACTCACAAGTGTCTCCAGTGACCCAAACGATTTGTGTGCTTTAACTCCTGGGCACTTTCTTATAGGACAACCCCTCATGGCAGTTCCAGAACCTGATTTGACGGACGTTAAAATCAACCGTTTAAACAGATGGCAACTGATCAAACAAGCGCAGCAGTCTTTTTGGTAACGATGGACCAATGAGTACTTACAGACATTGCAAGGCCGTCAAAAGTGGTTAAGGCAAGATACCAACTTAAACATAGGTTATTTGGTTGTCGTAAAGTCTCCGGTACGACCTGTCATGTCATGGCAATTAGGAAAAGTGACTGACGTCCATCCAGGTGCAGATGAAGTTGTACGCGTTGTGACGTTGAAGACAGCTGAATGAACCTTGAAGCGTCCAGTAGTAAAAGTGGTGAAGTTGCCTGTGTCCTGATCGGAAGATTCTTCTATCAACCAGTGTTGTATTTTTATATTTATTTTATGTAAAAGAGTAAAAGATGTACAATTCATTACCCATTATTTGTATAACTTTAAGGTTTTGAAAGTATCCTTTCAAAGGCGGGAGGACGTTGGGTACAGCTCTGGAATAATCGAAACTATTCTCGATCCTTCTATAGGTGCGCCTGTGTCACCGCAACAGCACCCGAATATTCTAGACGCGACACCCCCCTCCCCTCTGTTGATCTATCCACGACGGTCCCTATATATACAGGCTACCGCGTCTGTCTAGTACTCTAGTAGTTAGTCACTGTTTTTATTACGTTGGTAATTTCCGCGTAATTATCTCGTGATCGTGACATCTAATTTACGTTGATGGTTGCCCCGTAAAACTTACTATCGGCTGTTGCAGTGGCGCAGTACGCGGTAAGAATTTGTTTTATTGTAATAATAATTTATCAATTGTCTGTTATAATTTTGTATTATTATTTGCTATAGTTTTGTTAAAATATCCAAATATTGTATTGTAATTTCGTACAATTATATTTTCTTGATGTGTTATAAGTTACATTGACTTCTTACAATTTTCAATACATCATATTATTTCATTATACACATAATACAGTCCACTTATCTTAGTCAAAATATACACTTAAAGCGTGGTTACCCCGAACAACGAATTGCTCGAGACCTCGCTTACAATGATAGTATAATTTATATTACAATATTTTAAACTAAGTAATAATTGATCTAGAAACATACAACTGTTCCCGGTAATCTACAGTGTGTTTCTCTTTCATTACACTTTATATTAAACATCTTAGATGTTAGGATTCGTAGATGCCTGATATTTACAGTATATGTTTATTTCATCAATTCATATACTTGATAACATTTTAAAAGTATTTGGACTCATTTGAAGGTGTTTACAGACATTTTCAATTTTCTTATTTTTTTATTTTTTAAATTACAATAAAGTTGTATTTGTTTTGTCAAATAATCAAATAGCTTAACAATTTAATAACAATGCTATTGATATATCGTTACAATAGGAGTTATACTGTTTAAATGTACGATTTTGTTTTATTTGCATTTAATGTTCGACTTTTTGCAATAGTAATCAAATTGAAAATGTGCAAACTATTTTGTAGTTCAATTTTTATAAAATGTTCATCCCTTTTATAGTTAAAGATCAACAATCCAAAACAAAGTTACACACAATTGGTTAATTCTATAACCAATATATCTAAAAAATATACAAACATGACTTTTTTTATAGTTATTTTATGTTCAAATTTGGACGAAATTTCGTATTTTTAAATGACCAAGAACAATGATTGAAGTTATTTTGTTGTAATTTAAAAATATTATTCACGCGGGTACCTACTTGAAACTTTTAAAGTACCTATATTGTATACCTATTTTAAACACACAATGCTTTATAAAATGTAATTTTTTGCCTAAAATACTAAAACCTAACCTAGCCTAACCTAACCTAACCTATTGTATCGTTATAATTTAATCGGTATTGTTTAAGATACACATGATGTATAAAAAATGTATTTAACACTCAATAAGTTTATAATAATGTCTATTATTCTGTAGTTCGATTTAAGATTAATAAATGTATGAAAGTAAAAATTTACTAAAATATTTTCTATACCTTGTAATATTTTGTTCAATATGTATTACTTCACTTTTAAAGAATAATGATATTCTTCAAACGGGAAACAGCAATATTTATAGTTTTGTTCGAGCAACATAAATATTTTTAGATAGCAGTATTTTATTAAATAAATTACAACTAAAATAGTTTGAAATGTAGTGGACAAATTTACATGATAAAAATCATATCTTGCGTTATTTCGTGTCTTATAATGGATTAAATATTTTTGTACCGATATTTTAATTACAGAATTAATTAATTAAATATAATAACATTAATAACCTACATCCATATGCGTTTATGTTGGATCATCAGTGAAACGCAATTTTTTGCAACTGTCCTTGAATCTTGATGCATCCATATCGTTCTAAAATGAGTTTGAACATGCTAGCTCTCGTCGACAAAGGTTCCCAAACGCACCACTATGAAAATAATTATTACAATAATAATATCGTCTCTTCTTTTTTTCGGTGATGAACATTATGTTTTCCGGCAAACTGTGAACACGGCGTTTCGGCTATGCAATTTCGCTACACTTTTTACTTTCGTAATTTTGTTGTTAATAGTGTAGAGTTTTTTATAAAGCTTAAACGAAATCCTACATAGTCCATATTTCCCTCCATACATAACCAAATGACAATGTAGGTGGTTTTATTTCGTTCTAATTTTAGTAAATATACTGCCGAAGCAAGAACAAATAGCAGCATATAAAATGTTATTCTAAGCAATCGCCTTTTGAACACTATTACGTTAACAGTTACATTATATTATATATACTAAAGTACATATAATACAAGCAAACCGAGAAGCGAACCGATAAGCGAACCGATATTGATATAATATGACACCAAGTGCTTGTGAAACCAAGAAAAAGATATGATACATATGTATATATACCTAACAAGTAGTATACTAGTACATAGTATAATTTCTTATTCTCGGTTAGGTTAAAATTAATTTCCTACATAACACAGACAAGGAGTAAAGAAATCCAAACATTTTTTCACAATGAAAATTGGACCAAGAAGTGTAATTTTTTTTCTTTTGCTTATTGGTTTTAATTCACGAAAAAAACGACCCACTTTCAACCGCCTTAACGTGTCTTAGTTATTTTTTCACATTTTGTTGTTTTTAACCTTGCATGTTTTTAGCACATATTTAAAGATATTTGTAATAATATAACACGTAGTTTTGCAAATTTCAAGTGCTATCAAATCCAAATCTCGACTATGAATTATAACATCCATCCAACACCCTATTGAACGTTTGTGGTCACAGCACTGCCAAACACAGTTCAATTCATTCGATATCATATTCGGTCGTACAAAATGTACAATATACATAATAATATAGGTTCATAAATTAAGATATACAGTTTTATTATTAATATAAAAATTAACATTTTGATAAAAAAAAACTAAAAAACTAGAAAAAAAACTAGTATTAATCGCTATATGTACCTATTTCTTTAATAGTATATAATATGTTAAGGTGTATGACCGCATGGCAGAGAATGTTGACAGTCACCGGTGAATGTTGACATTTAGCGATCATTTTGGTGAATGTTATCAATTATTTCAAATATCTCACAATGTGGACATTTGCCAGTATTTGTTGACATGCGCAATAGTTATTTA